AAATGGTTGTGGAAAAAGGAAAAGAAAAAAGAAGGTCCTTGTTAAGTTGTGGTTTCCAGACTAAACACTTTCGTGGTCGTGGATGTGGCCGTGACTGTGGGTGTGACCGTGGGAGTGGTTGTGGCCGTGGGTATGGCTATGGCTGTGACCATGGCTGTGGCTGTGGCTATGGCCATGGCCAGCCTCGCTGCTGCTAGTTATGCCGTTTCCACTCTTGGAAAAGTGTCTGACAACGGTCCGGCCGCTGCTGGAACGGCGTCTCTCCTGCTCGTGCAACTGCGTTCTCATCCTCTCCTCGAGCCTCTCCATCTCGCGGCACTTCTCCTCGTATCTAGCGATAGCCTCATCACGCTCGCGGTCGGCGTTGTTGCGAGCGCTGATCGCCTTCTCCTTCTGCTCTCTCGACTCACGAAGCATGGTGCGCATGCTACTGATCTCGAATTCGTAGCCGGAGCCGCCATCCTCGTACTCGGTGACGCTCTCGCAGACGTCCTCGTATCTGCCCTCCCAGTCGCGGCACTTCTGCTTAAGAGAGCCGCACTCGGTCGTGAGACTCTCAACCTCGACTTGGAGAGTAGCGGCGAGAGACTTGTGCGTCTTGATCTCAATCTCGTAGTCCTTGATCTTGGTCTTGGCGGTGTTGAACTCAAGCTGCAGACGCTCGATGCGCTCGGTCTTGGAGTGGATCTCTTCCTGAGTCTTAGAGAGCGTAGACTCGGTGTGGCTGAGAGTCTCCTGGATGATGACCAGCTGGCGGTGGATATCATCGGCGCGGCCGGAGTGGCGACCACTCTCCTCCTCGACACGCTTCTTCTCAAGTTGAAGAACGCGGATCTCCTCGATCTTCTTGGTAATTGTCTCACGCAGCTCGGTCTGGATAATCTCAACGCGAGAGACGTCCTCGCGCAGAGACACGATCTCACGCTCAGAGTGCTCCCACTTGAGCTTCCACTTGCTGCTGCGGTCCTCGGCCTCTTCCCAGCAGCTGTGCTCCTTGGTGATGTCGCGCTTGAGCTTCTCAATGTGCTGCTCTAGCTCAGTCTTCTCGTGTCTGACCTTGGTGACGCGCTGCTCGGCCCTGGTGATGGCCTCTTGGAACTCCTTGATCTCGAGCTGCTTCTTCTCGAGGCGATCCTCAAGTTCCTTGTTCTTGCGTCTGATCTCTTCGTGTCTGTGCTCATGCTTGCGAAGCCTCTCCTCCAGTTCGCTCTCGCGGTGGAGCCAGTCATGTTTCTCCTTCTTGAGAACCGAGTTGAGCTGCTTGGAGTGAACAAGCTCCTTGTGATGAGTGTCGTACTTGGTTGTCAGCTCCTCATAACGAGAGAGCAGCTCGGTGTACTTCAGGTCGAGAGCATCACGGTCGCCGCGAAGCTTGCCACACCTGTCTTCGAGCTCAGCGCGAGAACTCTCGGTCGAGATGAGAGTGTGTCTCGTGGTCTCGACAGTCTTCTTCGTCTCCTCATGCTCGCGCCTGACGTGGCTGAGAGTGTCCTTCACCTGCGTGATCTCGTGAAGGAGGTGGCGGCACTCGGCGTCGCGCTCAGCAAGCTTCGTCTTGAACTCGGCAGTGCTGTTGACAGCGGCCTTGAGGTCAATGTTGAACTTGAGAATCTGCTTCTGGCGCTCTTCGTGCTCATGGTGGTTGTGGGAGTGCTCTCTTTCCTTGATCTCGATGATCTCGGCGAACTCCTCAATGCGCTGGTGCATCCTGTCCATCTCGGCATAACAGGACTCGCGCTCAGCGATAATCTTGCTCCAGACCTCCCTCAAGGAGGTGCTGCGGCGAGACATGTTGGCCATCAGCTCTGTGAGGGCAAAGAACTCGCCCTCGGCTTGAGCGGTCAGCTCCTTGGCCACTTCGGAGCTGTACTGCTTCTGGTAGCTGCCCCATGATGAAGTCCGGGTGCGGCTCAGGATGCGACGGGAGCTATGGCTGTGGCCGTTAGCGAAAGAGCGTGTGGAGCCGGTAGGGCTGGCGTCGCGAGAGAGAACGCCGTTGGGACGAGGCAGACGTCTGGTGCGGGACATCTCGAAGATGTGAGATGTGGCATCCGGGGAAGTAGACAGGTCCTCATCGAGGATGCTATCCATTCCGACGAAGTCCTTGGGCATGAAAATCCCATTGGTGTGGGTGTCGAGGGTAGCCATTTCGTTGAAGTAAGGAAGCTCGTAAGCAAGGTTACGATTCAATGAAGTGCTGGATATCTCGGTCATGGGTGGGCAAGGATCGGATGAAGCGGGAAAGAGAAGACACAAAACAGGAGAATGACGATCCAGATATATAGTCGTGAATGCTGTGTGAAGAACCTTTCGTGGGAGGAATTCCAGGATGAGAGGAGACGCCATCCAAAGGTTCAACAGCACAATGGCAGCCATGGATGGTTTCCCCAGGTATCCAGCTGTCCAGGAGCTGATTTCCCAAAACGGTGTTGTCGGCTGCCACAAGCGCGCTCGTCTCCACCAAAACGAGATAGGAGAGAGACAAAAACCCAGCTCTCTCCCTAGGGTCTTAGACAAGATACTCTCTAGCTACCGTTGATCTCAACGATCGGCGTATCCTGAAGATTCATCGTTTCCGTTAACGGTACCATCCTGCCTGCGAGCATTGGCTAAATAGAGTGATTCCAACAGTTGCTCAAGTGAATATCTCATGACACAAGAGAGGGAGAATCCCATCTCAGAAAACCATTCTCGGAAAGACGTCGTGAGGAACGGCACGAGCCATGCAGAGGTTCAAGGAGATATAACCAATAGCAAGGGTTGTACCTGCTAGGTCGTGAAAGTTGTGTCTGTATCCAGTTGTATCCAGGTGGATGGTTGCGGGACACGCCAGCCACATAACCACAGATGTGAGACATCCCACGGACGGTCTCCCTTGCCCAACGCTCTAATAGGCTCGTTCACACTATGGCGAACCCAGAATGCCATAGTGACTTTTCGACATGCTCTTTCAGGACAAGATCTCAATCATCTGACGCAGACCAAACGAGGGGAGCTGTCTCACACGCGGCACTTGGCATTCGGAGGGGTCCTATGGCCATATCAAGCAACGAAGAACCCCGAGATGTCATTACCTTTCCAGAGAATACTGATCTAGCAGACATGATTCCATAGCTACACGTTGGTTATCAATTATATTTTCTTCCGGCCAACACCGGGATTGAGATGGTCGGTTGACGTTGAGGAAAGCAACCATTGAGACGTTCGGATCAATAGAGGAGTTCAGCCTCGGTTTGCCTCTCGGATCCGAAGAATGATCTTCACGGACAACTGCATTCCGACATACCAGCAAAATGGAGTCGCCGCACTCAGCTCGGCCACCCCGCATGAAACACATGCGCCGCCTTGCGCGAACGTTCAAGACACCCCATTTCCCAATCTGTGGCTCACTATGGCGATTATCAACAAAACGGGACATATTCTTCCGACCTCTGCTCATTTCGCGTGAGCCTGCGACATTCCAACTTCACACCGGCGCCGATATCCAGTGATCAGCGAGACGTTTTGCTCAATGTTGACGATTCAGGATAATTTCTCTCGTCCTTGCCAAGAGGCTCAACAAACCCGCCTTTTCATGTGCTCACAAGACTCGGGCCGGTCCCAAGCATCTCTTCCGATGTGGCGCTGATGTCTTCGATTCAATGTCTGTTTGTGGGGATAGATGCTTCCTGTATCACGGATTAGGTCTTGATTCAACAGAGAGTGAACCAAAACTGCGATTTGTTTTGAGACGCTCAACCAAAGCACATGTGATAGTTTCTTGTGAAAGTCACGCGACGGAGTGCTGAAATCTCATACATTATCCTCGGCGTCCGAGTCCGGTGTTGTTCTGGTAACAGTCGAGCGCAAATCTAGACTATCCCGATTTTGATATTTGGGGTTGTTACCAATGCGTGTTGTTGTAGATACAACGTCGAGTGAGTAGCCGTCTAGGTAAAGTGTATCCAATTACTAAGGAACTGGGAAAATGAGCCCCGAGGCCCGGACAAGTATCCTTGACAACAACGTTTCATTTGATCGATGGATCGCGTTGCTACATGATCTACATCTTGGCCAAGGACTCTTTGGATAGAATTACCAACCCTATCTGCCAAGCAACGTCCCAAAGAACCCCCTGAATGCTCGTCTATTAATGCAACATAAAACCAGAACAAAAGGAACATCCTATGAGCCCCAGCAATGATCAACATTTATTCGTCAACATGTTATGTACCAAATCTTCATTCATCGCTGCCCATATCCTCTGCACTGACTGGCTCTCCTTGTCCTGCCAGATCAGATTACTCTCCTAACATATACGCCTGGTTCTATCAATGCCGCACAAGATAACGACGAAAGCTTTTGTAAACCACAAAAGGGCGGAAGCTTCCCCGCCAATGCCGCCAGACCACGGCGGCCCTTCCGCCTCTCTCAAGCTACGTTCCAGATAGCGTAACCCTCGCCTCTCATGAGGCAGGTCGTAAATTTTGATTGGCGTCCCAGCACGTCGAATGTGGATGGACTTCGGGATTTGTGCCCCCCATTGCCAGATTCCAGGGGAACATCTCAAGTGTAATACATTATGCTCAACGGCCGGACCGGCCCGTCTACGGGAAAAGTTGCCCCAAGGAAATCAAGCTCCACCAAGGTGCCGATGACGCCCTGCGGTCGCCAAATCCAGAAAGAATGGCTTCCGCGGTGTTAATTTCACCCATACTTCCGCGGAGCTACGAAAGCGAGTGTCAATAATTAAAAGTCGCGTGTATCCAGAAACATTTGCCAGAAATCTAGGAATATTTGGTTCACAGCCCCATGACCGGCGACAATTACCCACATGGATGAGTAGTTTCCCGCGGCAAACTCGGATAACACCCACTTTCGCCGTGCGATCAAGAAACGGGCCCTAACATGAAAGAAGATATACCGCAGCCAGCAGAACGACCGCACAGCTCGGGCTCAGACGGTACGTAGTGAGCAACTATTCATGGTCGTAAGCACGGCTGACATAGTTCTCAGGCATAATGACCCACGCTGAAGGTACTGAATCCATCACGGATTATCCAGATGGGGGATTGAGAGCTTGGCTGGTCGTATTTGGTGCCTGGTGTGCCATGGTACCCTCCATGGGTCTTTTGAACTCGCTCGCAGTCCTCCAGGCTTGGCTCGGAGAACACGAACTACAAGGGATGCCGGAGTCTTCTACCGGGTGGATTTTCAGCGGCTATGCCTTCTTCCTGTTCTTTTGTGGCGCTCAAATAGGTAAGGCAGCCCGGAGCAAGCCTATGCGTATCGTTTTGAGTTTAACAGCCCCAGGCCCTGTGTTTGATGCCCATGACATGCGCACATTGATCGTCCCTGGAGCTGTCGGCATCGTACTTGCTCTCGTTTTCATGAGCCTTTCGTCCGGTAAGCTTCATAAGTTTCATGTCTCAGCCTACCTAGCACCAGAAAGTCTTGATAATGACTTTAATTGTTGCCCAGAGTTTTATCAATTCTTTCTCTCGTTCAGTGTCCTTGGCGGGATTTCGTCGTCGTTGCTGTACAATCCAGCCGTATCAGCGATCGGCCATTGGTTTCACAAGAAGAGAGGACTGGCCACTGGCCTGGCTTGCACTGCGGGAGGGGTGGGCGGCGTCTGGATGCCCCTCGTTATCCTCTACTTGGCTCCCCGCATCGGCTTCGGCTGGTCTATCCGAGTGATAGCTCTCATATGCGCCATTCACGGGGTAGTGGCATGCTGTCTACTGACTAAACGGCTGAAACCTGAGAAGTCAAGAGGGTCTTCCATCGACCTCAAAGCCCTTAAGGACATTGACTACGCCGCAGTGGCCCTCGGACTAGTTCTCGTTGAGTTTGCCGTCTTCATTCCTATCACATACATCTGCTCCTATGGTATTCACTCTGGGTTCGGATACCTCGACGCGTACATGCTTAACCCCCTTCTCAACGTTGGCGCCGTTCCGGGTAGATTCTTACCCAATTACGTCGCTGATCGATTCGGTGTCATGAACACAATGTGTACCATTACATTCTGCTGTATGGCTTCGATATTTGGCCTTTGGCTTACCGCAAACGGGAGTCGGGCTATGACAACAGCGTTCGCCATCATCTATGGATTTTGGTCAGGAGCGTCTGTGAGCCTTGCTCCGGTCGCCATCGGCCTAGTATGCCGGACGGAAGACTATGGGAAACGCAACGGTACCGCATACACCCTTTGCAGCTTTGGGACTCTCATCGGGATTCCAATCGCCGGCGCGATTTTAGGAGTCGAGGGCGGCGGCTATCAGGGGCTGATAATATTCGCTGCGTTAGCCTATGTAATATCCTTGGCTGCTTACATCTTTGGTCGTGTACGATTAGGCGGGTTGTCGCTGGTGAAGGCATGTTGATCGGGTTCGGCTCTGACGGGGTCTCTGGGGTTCGTAAGATGGCTTGCGTCGGTGTAGGTGGCGTGCAGGTAAAATCGAGGTTGGTGGGCAGATAAGCCATGGGAGGATCTAGCCACCAAGTTCTCTGAAAATACGAAGTCTCGGGCCAGATGCCACTCTGATTTTACTTCGAACCTGGCCACTTTGAGCACAAAGGTATGTGTACAGACATCTCTCGGCCAGAGCACAGATGAGCCAAGACTCAAGGAGAGGATCTAAAGTCGCTATGCGGGCAGCAGCATGCAGGTGAGTCGACTTGGCCAATCACCTTCAACTATTGCTACCACCACGTCTCTCAACGTCTCTCATCGCAAAGCAATGAAAGTTTCTGATTTACTAGAGTATGCTGCCAAGTCCGCCTTCGAGGGCTTGGATGCAGTCTAGGAAGCATCCTTCGTCATGTGCACCCACTCAAAGCTACCACGTTTGCTTCCGGTTCCTAGCCAAGCTAATACGTCAACAGCAGCTTCCTGATTCATCGTTGACAAATTGCCCATTCCGTACGCGAAATACCAAAGGCTTTACAGTTTTTCTTGTCCACATGGCGCGGTATCGCCGGAAGGTTCGGCCTATGATGTAATAGTCTTTAGACAATCGAGCATGTCACCACACAGACCCGCTCCGACAGACCACTTCCGGCACACCACCCGAGCACCCTTCTCCACGGACATCCGTGTGATAAAACGGCGTCTATTCACTTGTCCGACGAACTGCTACCCTCAGATTCTTCAGGATTCGAATTCAAAAAGCTCTATAAACTGCCTATCCCTACCTGAGCTAGCTCACAAACTTGTCGTCATCAACGCATTCCAGAACATCTACCAGTCTTCCAGAAGCGCACGAGTCATGTTCCTCTCCAACAGAGCACCAGCGAAACCGCTGCCCCGCTTCCAAACCAACACGCCTCTGGACTCGACCTTTGACAAGGATATCCGCGACGTGCACCTTATCTACGACTATGACGCTGAGGACGAGAATGGAAACCCGGAAAAGTGGCGCTATGAGATGTGGTTCTTCTCCGAGGACCGCGTAGTCTACGCCATCCATGGCGGACCGATGGCGGGTCGCATAAACTATCAGGCCGCCACGTATCAGTGTATTCGCCCCGGCGAGCTATGGCAGGTGAACTGGCTCGAAGAGACGGGTACAGTCTGCTCGCTGGTATACGACATTCCGAATCAGAAAATCTCGACGCTCATTTCGTTTTCGCGGGGCCACTGGGAAAATCCCAAGGCGGCGCACGGTGACAAGCGCAACCCCGGCGATTTGGCGCGTTGGAGGGTGCTTGCGAGGTTTGGGCATCAGAGCGACAGGCTCATGCTGTCCGAGCAGGCGGACATTGTGGAAAAGTTCAAGGGCAAAGGGAATTTGGTACCTATTTCTGAGGATGCTATAACATTTTGAAAGAGATTTGAGGGTGGTTTGTAGCATGGGCGTAAAGGCACTGTATTTTAGCGAAATTGGTATGTGATATTTGACAGGAAATGAGAAGCATGCGTTGTCAAATCACTTTAATAAGCCTCTGATGAGAGAAAAACCAACTTTAAGGGCGTTATGACCTCCTTCCGCTGTGACACGGATGTGTCAGTTATGATATAGGGACTCTTTTACCTTGCTCAACAAAGTAAACAATAGAAAGCGTCCGAAGTCACTTCTGGTTAACGTCTTGTCACGGTGCGACTCGGATCTTGTGTTACGGGCTTTTGTAAATTCAGTATATACAATCCATTTGTTCTGTGTACTTGGTCTTGACGAACATTGACTACACCATTTGCCCATCTCAGCTACCAAGAGCATTTATCGGCAAACCTTCGTTGGGCCAATGCCAGCCGGGTTCTCAAGGGTGCACTTAAGTCCCTTACAACAATCATGGGGCAGAGGGTCGTTGTCATTGCAAAACTCTGTGGGATATGAATCAGCTGACTGTAAAATGATTGGAGAATGCAGAGAATAGGTATTACCATCCGCTCTTCTGCAATTCGCCTGACGAGGGAACAGTTCCATGCCCGCAGTGTCACGCTAGTACATCAGTCAGTATACGGCGGTGTCCACGAATGAGCAGCAAGCAAAATTGGAGGCCTTACTGGGTGAGGGACAGCAGCCGAAACAACAGCAATTAGAGTGACAATAACTGCAGTAAACTTCATATTGTTGGGTGTGGATAAACGGTCAGGTGGCAAACTCAAACAATATTGTTTAAAGACGTGGAAGTACCGGACTTCAAGAATTTGAATCAAAATGAAGCTGCCTGCTTGTTTGATGATAAGCTAGTATACATCCTCAGTCCAGACGGCGATGTCTACCTCTTTATACTCGACCGAGTGCTTGAGCTTTTGATCGACAGATCTTCTTCGAGAACACCTCACTTAGCTACCTTGGTGTTTCCAAGATAGGAAACTTCCTAATTCGAATGATCTACAAAAGAATATAGGAATGCAGCCAGGATTTGACAGACAAAAACTACGATAAAAAGTCGCCGTAAAGATGTAAGGTTCCTGTCAAACACAAATGGCAGGCGAAGTGGGCACTGAATGTGCACACCAGGTACTTCAGCAAGTCAAGAAAAGTCCTAAGCATGAACTTTGGACACAAGTTCAATCAGACTATTGGCTACCAGTTAGTCTTAACTGATGCCGGTATCACCGAGCTGAACCGGACTGCCGGTACTGAGCGGCCGGAGTTGAGGTTCGTCTGAAACGGCCGTCTGAAACTCGACTCCAAGAACTTGACCCCGTATTCCTGACTCGGGCCTTTGCATATATGGCCTTATGGCTGTGCAGCTCAGGAAAAATCTAATCACAAAAGAAACATTCCGCCTGTAAAGAGTCACAGAAAGGCTAATGCAGCATAATAATTGATTACTATTGGGTCTGGCGGCCTAGGTATCGACATATCCAGCCGGAGACTTGCATGCGCTCTCAATTCCAATGCCGAGACCGAACCTCGGAGACAAGTTCTCAACCTCTATTTCTTATCACTTGCTACGCAATGACCACAAATAATGGAGTTTTCCGCAGATCCGATTGCATCTTAGTTGCCAAGGCGGTAAACCCAGGCTTTGTTGGGCGTCAGCGTTCCCTGAATGATATTCTCCCAAGCCTTCTCAACTCCCGAGGAACCACCAACTCCAGTGCCCCAAACCAGTTCCATATTTCCTAGGTACTTCTCCCCGACCGCTTTCTCGAATGCAGCTTCATTGTTTCTAAAGAAGCTCTCCGCGCCCTCCGCCTCAACACCATCGTCAATAACCCAAGTCGTGTTCAGCTGAACAGGGACACCCCACTTCCCTCGCAAGCCCATAAGTGCCTGGAACTCCTCTGGAGATTGCATCTTTGGCTCGCCGCCAATCAAGACCAGAGTAAAGCTTGTACCTTCTGGTAGCTTGGCGACCAGAGCTTCGCGGAGCTGCTCCGTGACTTCCACCGGGCCTCCATTGTCAAACACCACAATACGCTTCGGCTGGACGCTGGCAATCCAGTCAACTGTCTCTTTAACAGCGAGTTCGTCGTACTTCACATTCTTGATCTCAAAGGCAGCTTCGGGAGAAGGACTCAAATACTGAGGTGAAGAAGTGACGTTCAGCCACGCAAGAGGCCCATTATTAGCCGGTTTGCGGTTCCGAGCAAAGTTCCAGGTGATGCTCCGCCCCGTCCGGCTTGATGCGGAGAGGTTGACAACGACAGCAGAGCTCAGATCCCCGTCCTTGTCGGTCCACTCGCCACCATACTGGCCAGTTGGGTGAACTCCTTTAAACTCCGTCGGGAAGCTGAAGCGGTTGAGTACGTAGCCCGCGTTCCAGATGGGATACGCATTTGCGAAAATGGCTCTGAAATCCTCTGATTTAGAGGATTCGTCGAAGAGGTTGTACCGGTTATAGATACTTCCGAGCTCCTTCCTGTGGTCGCTCACCTCGCGGAAGTGGCCCTTGGGCTCGTGTGGTACGAGGTTGAGATCGACTTCGTGAGATGAGGTAGGCCAGTAGCCGTAGACAAGACTACCGGAGGGGATGGCCTCGATGTTCGACTCGAGAACCCTGGCGAAACCCCACGCAGGGACGATACCCCACTCATCCCGGTTGTTGTACGGGGCGGGGCCGTCGAGAGGAACGGGCCAGGTGGACCACCAGTGGAGCATATCTCCGAGCTTGGCATATGAGAGGTTGTTGGATGTGATAGCAATGAGAGTTGAGCGCGCCCGGATGGACGAGGGGGCTAAGGGGGGAACAGACAGGTTGACGGAGATTGTCTCATGTTTGGTGAGATCCTTCTTGGAAATGACGAGAATTTCGGCCGCCATATTGCTGGCTGTGTGATGAGTGCAGTTGTGTAAATGTTACTTCGCTGGTGGTTGGTTAACGATCAAACGGAACACAGTGAGAGGGGTTGTGGTTTTAAGCCGAAGTTTAATTTTTGAGCTGCCGAGAGTTGCCAAGGCTCAGCAGCAGACCGAGCAGATGGGGCGGCATCAAAAGGGCATCTTACATCGAGCATGAAGTAAGACCTAAACCGCATCAGGGCTTGGATTAAGCTTGTTAGTGGTCCCATCGTGCCGAACGGGCTAGCCGGTTGGCGCCCGCAATTGATTTAATTCCGCTCGGCCACTGTCAGTCATCAGCAAAGAGTCATCCCTACAGGGATCATAGTGGATGCAGCATGAATCTTTCTCAACGGAAAAATCCTTCGTAAGCTGACTTCGCTTCTGAAGAACTGACTGAGCGTGTAGCTGATTGTCTTCTACGACTTTTCGGTGATGAAAGTGCACACACAGTCATACTTGGATGTCCGGATGGGCCGGGCATTGCGGGGTTCGGGAGTCACGCTGGCCGACGCGAAATTCAGCAGGTGGTTAACAAAATTTAACACTATGCTCCACAAAGTACTTGGTCATGAGGAATGCACGGAAAACTCAAGTACGAATGAATTAAGTACTGAGTTGCTATTGAGTTGATTTAATTAAGGAGTTTTTAAGCGGTACCGAACGCCTTCTGGTGCCCAACCAAGGTGAATCGGTAGTGGACCTTGTTCTCTTTAACCCTCTCAACTGCCTCCTTGCATCCTGCCTCGGAGATGTCAATAGTCTCAACCCATGGCTTGATGCCCTTCTCAGCGGCAAGCTCCAACAATGCATCCATCTCCTGGTGGTTTCCAATGTGACTTCCAGACATCTTGGCCGAGTTGCTGGCGAAAAGACCGGCAGGGAACTGTGGAAGCGGCTTATCTGGAAGTCCCACCATGTGAAAGTGACCACCGACACTGAGCGTCGACAGGTAGGTCTGCAGGTCAAATTCGTTGGTCATGTCGGAGCAGTTCAACATGAAGTCGAACTTGAATGCCCAGGGCTTCGCCCAGTCCTTTTCTGTCGTGTTGATGACCTCCTTCGCGCCCAGCTTCTTGCAGTCTTCGGCCTTGTCGGGCGAGTGCGTAAGGGCGTAGACTTCGGCGCCGAGAGCCTTAGCCCACTGCACTCCGAGGTGACCGAGGCCGCCGATGCCGACGATTGCAACCACGGAGCCCTTCCCCACGCCGCCCCGAACAAGCGGGGAGTAGGTCGTCAAGCCGGCGCACATGAGCGGGGCCGCATCTTCGGACTTGAGCTTCTCGGGAATCTTGAACGTGAAGTACTCATGAGCGCGGATGTGACTTGCGAAGCCACCATGCGCCTGGCTGCCATCCTCATACTTTGCGTTGTATGTGTCTGGGTCTTTGGTTAGTCTCCATTTCGGAAGCGGCCGAGGCATCCATGTCAACGTACCGACGAGGTGAGGGCAGTAGTTCTCGTTCTGGTGCTTGCACTGCTCGCACTTTAGGCATGCCCACACCTGGGCTCCCACGCCAACTCTGTCTCCAACCTTGATGTCCTTGACACTCTTTCCAACGGCGATCGCCTTGCCGACAACCTTGATGGCTTTTAGATCTTGCACACCCGTCTTAGATGTTCTAGGATAGACTTACCTCGTGGCCGACACACAGGGGACCCTCGTACTCGCCCCAGCCGCCAGTGATAGTGTGCACATCAGATCCGCAGACACCACAGCACTCGATCTGCACGTCAATGTCGTGATCTTCAAATGGTTTCGGTGTGAGGGTCTGCTTGTTGAACTTGTTCCATGTCTTCGGACCCTGGGTGCAGAAGCCCTGGAACTTTTCGGGGTAGCTCATTTTGATTGAATTGGTGTTGGTGGTATCTAGAATATTTGCGAGAATATTTGCGAGAATATTTGCCGATGTTCTTTTTGTCTACCATGCTTCAAAGTGCACGCTTCTTCTACTTATACGCGACCGGGTTTCGCGATGACGCTCGAATTTCCTCAGACCTGCCCGCCTCTGAGCTGATCTTACTGCAGGCTGCTCAGGTCAGGCCAGCAAGTGGCCACCAGCGCAAACCTCGGCCCTCTGCCTGCCGCAAATTACCCATCGGAGAACACCCATCGAAAAGTGCCATCCGATGAATGACGTCTATGAGTCTCTCAGTGTCTCGAGGGCGGCCCCACCAAAGCGGCGTCTCGGTCCATGCCGAGAAGGTCGCGCCAACGCAGCTCCGGTGCAGCCCACGCCTTAGTTCCGAAAGGCTTGGCTTCCAGACCGCTGATAACGAGCTAGCTTCCCCCTGGGGTGCCAATCTCCTTCCCGAACGGGACGTGTCTCGAAGCCTCATGACGCCAACCTTTTTTCATCATGTTGGGTTTGACGGTGTCACAGCAGAAATACGCCGAGACTTAAGCCTCAGGGAAGTCGATCCAGAGTGAATGTCCCGATTCCACGGCATTCCGCTTACCAATGCATACTTGCACAGAGGAGTTCACTCTGTGGTGCTGAGCCAATCAAATGGACGAGGTGCCTGATGCCGGACCCGCGGTGCGATCAGGTTACCCTTTGAAAAAGAGGACTGACGTACTTGGAGAGGAACAATTGCCGGGCTCTTTAGTCTACATGCATAGCTTAGAGGCCATGACGGGGCCTCATCTAAACCACGTGGACATTTACTCCACAGGTGGTAGCGAAAAGCCAAGCGGCGTTTAGGTGAAGCGACATCAAAAGATTCACCAGCGTTTTTGGGATTCAGGTCACAGGTTTTGGAGATCCTGCCTCGAACCGTTACCAGCCGTCAAAAGGCTCATCTATTCATGTGCTGTCTTATTGACATTCCTTACTTCTAGATGCCCAGGAAAGCCATAACAGTAATCTTGATGACACAATTTCTCAGGATATTTCTCACAAGAGCAAATTGGACTAAAAAGAAAAACGGCATGCTCTCTTTCTCGACTTACTCACTCATAGATCAAGAGCACGCAGCGGAAGTCTTGTGGTGCATCACCATCTACAAAAGCAACACTGCTCAAGATACTAGATTCAGCAGTTACGAGAGCCCGATTGTTTAATGCTAATATGGAGTGTTTACATTAGTAAAACATTATTTAATCTAAAATAAATTACAATGCGTCTTGGTGGGTCGTGTATGCTCTGTGGACGAGATTGAAAACTCAATCTTCAGATAATACGAAATTTCTCGAGCAAGTCCTTCATGTCAGATCACCAAGGGGCATAAAAACGTGAATATGCGATGACATATTTCTATCGTTTCTATGGATGCGTGCTTTGCTGTTCGTTGAGGAAGAAACTCAAAGTCTGGTCGCAGGATATGCCCCTTTTGGTACAATACTTTGAAAGTACAATGCTTTGAAAATCCACCTACTTTACCTAACAACAAATAAGTATATGAAAACTCAGGCAATCTGAGAATGGACCTAAGAGTCACCCAAAGCCCTAAACCCCTGATTTGAAGTCATGGGTTTTACTTGTCTATTGGGTCTCAAAAGAGACCGTGGTCATTCTTCAGTAGTCATAGCTGTTGTCATTAAATAGTGAGAGGGGTCATTGATATCCATAACAACAGTCTAATATGTTCTATCAGGAACATGGTGTTGTTTTTGACAGTGTCAACATTTTGGACTCCTCGAGGACGGCCGTCCAAGCGACTATGACAACCAGGCATTCGGGATACAAACATGTCCAAATTTGGTACGATTTATGACAGCCTTTGCCAAGTGTTATCACAACGGTTCCATGCGTTGCTCTAGGCCCAGTACTTGTCATTACCACTTCCTGTTAGGTAGAATGCATTTGAGTTCTAGACCAGGTCAATCCTGATATTCGATCGCTTTGGCAACTGGATTGGAGTTCTATGAGCTTTGCGCCTTCATTTCGAAATCATCATCAAAAGCGTTGATGATAGCTCATAATGAAAACAGTGAAATACTTCGCGTCGTGCGCGAGAATGGTTAGAATCGTATGATGTCTTGCATCTCAGCTCGCCACGTTACCACGGAAGGCTGGCCAGCCTAAGACACCCCTGAATTTGATTCAAGGAGAGTGCCGTCCCGTAATTGGCATCTTGTGTCTAACTGAGGCTCGCTGCAGATTTCGAATTACCGTTTGCTCGCCAAAACCTTTGTTGGATTCTCGGCGGCCTTCGCTTTCTTTCGAATATCAATCACCCCTCCCAGTCATCATGATGCGACTCGTCAACACGGAGCCTGTCATTGACCCCAAGACCCGACTCATGAGGGTTTTTTCTCAGGATCGAACTCCACCTTATGCTATATTGTCCCATCGACGGAGTCCGAAAAATGTAGGGGAGTTAACTTTCCAGCATCTCAAGCCCAACTCCGAATCACCGAAGGGTCCTGCGAGCTATAAAAAGATCACAGAGTTCTGTAACAAGGCCTTTGACGCCGGATTCGAGTGGGCGTGGATCGACACTTGCTGCTTCAACCACGAGGACTCTCAAGAGGAGGGAAAGTCCATCAATTCAATGTATGGCTGGTATCGTAAGGCCGAATTGCCACGTATATTTGGCAGGGGTCACTAAGATTGAGGATATTGGGAAGCTGCAGGAACTCCTAGCTCCCCGGAATCTCATTTTCTTTGACCAAAGTCGGATTGACGTTGACTCGAGAGCATTTCGACGAGAGGCCATTGAGAAGACAATGAAGATTCCACCCAAAAGAACCCATAAACAACGACACCGACTACAGTGTAGCACAGATAAACTCGTGGGCCAAGGATAGGGAAACAAGTCGTCCCGAAGACCGCGCGTACAGTCTACTTGGTTTGCTCCGTATCACAATGGCGTTGGGTAACACCGAAGGAGATGAAAAAGGCTTTGTCAGACTCCAGCAGGAAATCATTCCAGGGTACGAATCTCGTTCTTGGTTTATGATTCGAAGTTGTAAAAGCACCATCGTTCGTTCAATTGATCTCGTATCCATTCTTGACATCTTGCATATTCTCTAAAAAGCGTATCGGCCTCGATTTGAGGGCTTAGATCTCTTCCAGAATGAGAGTCGAATCGTTTGGGCCCCCACATTGTCAACGCTAAACTATTTTCTTCACATGTACTCTTCCTGGGTGCCTTTCTCACTGCTCCTGTAAATCGCCTCAAGCATCCGGTGCCTCAGCAAAGCATCCTTAAAATCAGGCACAGCACCCTCACCCTCCCCAGCAAACGCGTCCCACGCCCAGCCCGTGTTGAACGAAAAGTCCTTAGCCTCCTCGACCTCGATCTTCTCCAGCTTCGACCCCGCCTCGGGCTTGACAAAGCTTACCGTGGGCTGATGCCCCTGAATATTACCCATGGGGCCCTCCAGCACAAGCATCCCCTTGGTCCCCGTGATTTCCCAGAAGAAGTTCTTGTCAATGGCACTCATGCCGCCTTGGCACACGGCAGTCGCTACGCCGCCGCCCGCAAGTCTCCCCGTGACGGTGCAGTGATCATGAGACGTCTTCTTTATGGTCCCCTGCTGCCTCCCTTCGCCATCGACGAGGGGAACTACAGGCCGCTTATTTGCGAGAGTCCCTTGCACTCCTCTAAGCTCTTCGAGCACGAAACAGAGGGCATCCAGCGCGTGTCCGACAGAAACCGACACCAGGTTGGCCCCATTCTCAATATCAGTTGCGAAAACAGCGTCCGCTTCGATGATGGGCAGGTGCGCCGGGACCTTGAGGCAAACGGCGACGAGGTCGATGTTCGGGTCCGAGACGGTGGACTGGATGTCTCTGTAGGCCGCGATGTCTTCTCCGAGATTATGTATGCGAGCGGATTTCTTTGCAAGGAATTTTGGAGCGCTACGATCTTGTAGTTGGACGTCGTGGCGAAGTAAGGTAGGTGTGCCGCGACGGACCACGACCATGCTCTGGAAGCAAGTCAGCATTTCTTCTTCCTTCTCGACTATCATCTAACGACTTGAGGCTGGGATGAGAGCACTATTGCCTTAAAAAGCTCTGAAAGTTACAAATGCGACGGAGCAATCGCCCATTTGATTCCGCCTACGGCTGTTCAGACGCATCGGATCTGCGGGACGATTCGTTCTGTTTCTAGCCTAACCGTGTCACTACACAGACGAACATACGAACCGATTTTCACAGTAGCCGATGCAAAAGGAGTCAAGCACAGATTTGGGTTAACAATGTTTGTGGAGGCAGTGAACGAATGTATTCCAGCTTGGCTAGCCTACGATTTTCCCATCCTGCTCGTACCCAGGCCCATCTACCATTCTATGTGCCCTAATCTTACCTTTAAAGAGCGTCATGAACGCGCCGAACGAGTGACAGAAAACCAAATCTCAGCCCATCCAGAGACGATAGCTCCACTCAGAGCTCATTCTCCTTCTTGCGGGCGTCGATGACAGCCAACGCCTCCTCGGCAGCCTTGACACCAGAAAGAGCCATGGCGCCAAAGGTAGGACCTTCATCAAAGTCAGCGACACTCATTAACTTCTATCGTGGCGTATAAGAACTCACCCATGCGGTTCGCCCCGTCAACCTCCGAGAGCTCCATGCCACCCACAATCAACCCCTTCACAATCTCCCTCGTCCCCTTCACAATCGCGTCCTCAGCCTCCTTCATATCCAGCCCGCGCATACCGCCAAGCTGTTCAATCTGCTTCATGCTCACAAGCCTCTTCACAGAGAAAGCACCAAACGGCCCGTCGTGGCCCGTCGTCGAGATGACAAGCGGCGCGTTGATCGTGTTTGGGTCCATGCAGCTCTGGTCGTCGTGGTGCATGCTCACCAGCGTCCAGTTCGTCACCACACCGGCAACCCTCACGCTGCCGTCCGCCTCCTTGCGCGTGATCAGGTCCTCGACCGCCGTCGCGTTGAACAGCTTCACGTTCGGGAACTGCAGCACGCGGCTGAGCACCGTCGACGTGAACAGCGCGGCGTGCTTGACGACGACGAAGTCGCCCTCGTCGTCGTACGCGACGCCGAGCTCGTCGAGGAACACATCCGCCGGCTTGCGCATGACCATGGCGCTGAAGAGCTGGCCGCCGAGCCACGCGCCGCCGCCGGGCGACACGCCCGCCTCGACGATGGCGATCTTGAGGTCCGGGCGCGCCTTGGCGAGCACGTAGGCCGTGGACAGCCCGCAGGAGCCCGCGCCGACGATGACGATGTCCGACTCGGCGTAGGTGTCGAGGTCGGCGAAGTAGCGCCGCGTCATGGCGCGCGAGACCTGCGACTCGCGGATGGGCGCGAAGGTGAAGGTGTCCCACTTGCCGAACATGTCCTCGACCTTGGTCTTGGCCTCGGCGGCGGCGGCGGCGGGGACGGCCGGGGCGGACTTGCCGGTGGAGTAGGTGACGGCGAAGTCGCGGACGGGGGAGATGGCGGTCGGAGGAGCCATTGTTGCGTTGTTGGTACTTCGAGTGCGAAGCGTGTGTGTAATCTGCTTGTGTTAGGGTGCATGATCCTTTCGCTGGTATTACCCAGATCAAGTTCAAGGCCGTATGTTCTCAGCCCAGCCCCTTCACCCGCGCCGGTCGCTGGCGGCACCATGAGATGGCAGCGACGTAGGCAGGGTAGGAGACTGGGCACCGGCTCATGCGTTGTGCGTTCCAGAGGTCACATACTCTAGATTGTATGGCTCGAGTAAAGCCTTCTCTGTGGGTGTGTCAGCTGTACCGCATTATCGATCTTACCAAGAGGGGCCTACTGATTGTGTCTTTAATGCGTGTAGTATGTCAAGAGAACCTCAGATGACAGACGATTTGCTTGAACCGAATTGACAGCAGAGAGGAGATGATCTCTTGGTTAAATACACCTTCGATAAGCCAAAACGAAAACCTTGCCCTATCTGCGGGGTAAAAGCAATAGTAAACATCATCCTCACATCACGCCCAGCTTCTCCCGCCGCCCATTGGGTTTACCATTGGGGAAGCGGGCGTGATCGGCTGCGTGGAATATGCAACCCCGCGACCAAACAAAGTAGAAGCAAGCTACGCAGCACGTCTCGCCCGCTCGCGCCTTCGCGCTCGTGTAATTCAGCGGGCAAATACATCACAATAGTGGGGGGTTCCTTCGCCCATCGCCCAACAATTGAGCCGGAAACCAACGGAGCCCCTCCCGAAAGCCGATGTCACCCGCTCCTACGCCGCAACACCCGTGGGACGGCCGGGATCGCTGCATGGCCGCGCGCCGACGATCCCCCGCGCGGCGCCTGGGGGCGACCCTGTGTCTCCAGAGAAAAAAGACCTCAAGCACTCTCACGGTTCGTCACCGCTCGTGATATGACCTCTCATCGCGGAGCTGCCTCTTCAGGCAATATGGCTTTCTCAATCACTTTACCAGGGAACATCTTGCGTCGTTCGCTGTACCTACACATCGGCGAAAGAATGCTTCGCCGCCGAGCCCGGACGCACGTGCGGTTCTGCTTACCTACAGAGAAATAGTGTTCGGTCATTTTTACGTTTGAGCAAAGATCATGTAGAGCAAGAAATTCGCGCATATCGACTGGCATCCGCCTCTATTGAGTTCCTCAAGACTTTCCCCCAAGGTTTGCTGCCAACTTGGCAGGACGACATGATTGGAGGGGTAAAGCTTAGGTGAATGGAACCACTTACGAATGCTATTCTTGTGATTGGTGGGAAGCAATGGGCGCGGGGGGTGGACATGGTTGACATACGCGTGATTTAGAAGCATGTGCTCCCTCGTCTGTCAGTAACATTGTTCGAAGACGGGAAGTGGCCGTTATCGATATGACTGGTCACTAGATGCTGTGGCATGTCACACACGATTGGCGTGACGCTGACCTCACGATAGACGCAGTTCATGCTCGTTAAATCATTCTTACATGCCTATTTCATGTACTTTAGACGACGCGGAACGCCATAGCTATGTTCCGTATGCCAAGCCAGCAGAGCAACGTCCAAAGACGCCAATGGCCTGCCCAGGTCTGGTCGATCTATCGTGTAAGATCGTCGTATGCTCCCAATGCGTCAAACGCCATACATTACCGCGCCTTCGCGATCATCCCCGAGTAATCTCGACAGCTCGTCGTCACCGCGAACCCCTTTCCCTGACGGTACTCCTCCCCAGTGCTCAACATCAAGAACCCGCCTCTGCGACAGCCGACGTCTTCACTCTTCACGGTCGAAGGCGTTGCCGGGCCAGTGGTGCTTCCATCGGTCTCCGAGCCCGCGCAATCTGAAAGCCCGTCGTTGGACATGTCCGCCGCCATCGTCTCCCAGAACTTCTGTGCGGGGCTTTCCGCCAGCTGGCTCAGCTCCTTCAACGCGCTGCCATGCCCGCGGTCGTACCACGCAATGAGGTACCACCTCCTCGGTGCCAAAAACATGACTTCGCACCAAAGCACAAATATCATGAGAGCCACGGGCTCTTTGAACCGTAACAGAGACAGATACTGTTCTGACACGAGCGATGGCCAAAGGATGAAGTGTTTCCATATCCGCGGCCGTCCTGGGAGCGAGCTCATCCAAGACTTGAGCGCTACTAGGGCGCTGAGGTAGACTTTGGTGTCATCTTCCGGTATCCCTGTTGCTTCTGACCCGAGGGACAGGAAGTCAATGAACCGGGCAATCTTTTGTAATGACGGCCGTAGAGCAATGTCGCTGCTGTCGCGCCATTCTTTAATATCGACTTGCGCTAGCTTGTCTCGTATTGGACTCTTGAAGACGTGCGGTGTTACCGTGTCGGAGAACTTCGCTGCTACCCGCATGACGTTTAGAGCTTTGGCCGGCTCGAACGAGTTCACCTGTCCCATGACTTTCTCGTCCGCAAAGGGCCTATAGTACCCAAAGATTCCGTTGCACATCGCAAAGACGAATGTTGCGAGCCAGTTCTCTTCTGTGACCTCCGGGACCGCCAGTCGAAAGTAGTTACTTGCTTGGATGGCATGCTGGCAGGCCATAGAGTAGTATCGCTTCATCTCGGGCGGCTCGAGGTGGCAGAGGTGAAGAGCTGCAATCGACAGCATGCTCTGATGTATGAAGACATTTCGAGATGCCAGCTGTGGTACCCATCGTGACCAGACGTCGCATTTCCTAGGGTCGCTCTGAAGGGAAAAGGTGAACCACGCTTGTGTCAGGAAGTGATGCTTGAGTTCAGCCTCGTCGGCGCGTAGCTTCTCGGCAGGTAATGAGGCGTTGAGGGCGTCTCTTGAAGAAGCATGAGCAGCAACGGTCGCCGCACGGCGGACCATGCTCAAGGTATCGCCGGTCTTATCTCCGCCATTTTCCCGGTTGAGGGCGTCTGCAAGAAGACCCAAGTAGCTGCAGTGCTCTTGCCTACGACGACAGTTGGCGCAGACGGGTCCCACACAGTCGCACTATGTAACACAGTTGTTAGCATCTTCAAGTGAACTATGGATTGTGTACGTGATAGAAGGAGGCTTCGGTATGATGAGATCATATCTTGTTCGTGTAGCCGTCCTCATGAGTGGCCAAGGCAAGATCGAACAACCCGGGATGTGTGCATACATGTAGCCCATTCGGTGCCAAGTACTTGAACAAGCTCCAGAGCACACAGCGGATTCGCAGATGAGGCTCGAAGAATTTTGAACTGGGATGCGGGTCATCCTCACCTTGACACGACGCTTCTTACACTGTCGACACCCGTTCTTCGTCTTCCCGTGATATTGTCTTGAACCCTTCGGCATTCTATCGTTACATACGTTCGTTTTTGCGGCGCAACGCTCTAGATTCTTTGTCTTCTTCCCTCGGTTGGGTCGGCAATCGTGGACGTAAGCGGTACCCGATGGATGGCGGGAGCGGGAGAGCGACACGTCTAGCGGCTTGGTGTGGGCTTACTCCCTGCTTTTAAACCGATCCATACAGTTTGATGTACGAAACATGAAAACTTGGGAGATGCTTGACGTTGTCAGGGATGTATGACCTTTCTGACGCAAACTTAACTGTGGTGGTGGCACGTCCCCCGCTGTGACAACGGGGTGACAGAAACCCGAGCAGCAGCGTGTGAGAGGCTGAGGCCGCAGACCAATTCCACATGAACATCTGTGGCCATGGGCCGTTAAGGCAGCTAAATCCCGATAGCGAGGTGCATCCTAGCCATGCGCAGCTGCCCAGTTCTGGCAAACCATCCGTGGGTAGACACCTGCCAGCTTGAGGCTTCTTCCGGTTCGTGGTGGCCAAAGTCAACGTCAGGCGATGATGGCACTTGTAGACCCTCTGCTGTTTCTGAACTTGGTCGTCGTGTAGGGCGTAAATATTATTTTATTTCGAACTTCACAAGTCTCCTCAAGGGACAACGTGTCCTCAAAAGATCAGCCAGCTGCTTAACCGCGGCAATGTCGTAGAAAGTGAATGGCATTTGTGCAGTATTACCCCTGGCAAGGGGTTTTCAATGACGCGATGCGGGTGTTGTGCAGGCTTGGGTCAGAGATGAACATTTCTCGAAGCGTCACCGATGTGCCGGCGATGGGATAGAGCAGAATTTCATGCCCACCCAACAATGCCAAACGGGGCTGCTAGCGCTGCAAGGTTTGAAACAAATTCAACAACGTTTCGCACGGCGATGGTAAGCTAAGCCGATATGCATTGACGTGGAGTTAAGCATTCAGGTACCACATTGGCTCTGCAACGCAGATGTCGCAGCTGCAGATTGGCCAGGCCCTTGTCCCAAGGCTGGTGCGGGCAAAGCACATCGGCGGCCTTGGCTTTCGAGCCTTTGCCCGTAACGATTCTGCTTGCTGATGTCCACCCAAGAGCGTAGATTTGGAAAGGAACGGCCCAACTGTTCGCCGCTGAACGAGCGCTGACCATCTCCTTATCTGAGACGGTTGCATCGGTCTTCCTATTGCGTGCTTGTGGAAGTGTATGTGCGTTTTCCAGCAGCAGGACAACCGATCTGTGGCGTCAAGTGGCCGATGACTGGATGCTTGTGTCTCATTGGTGTTGGCCGTGGACGAATTCGCCGGAGTTCAGATGGCGTTTTAAACCACTACTGCCATCTGCACGCGATGTTTCTTTCCGCCTTGACTGCCCCGCAAGCTTTGTTGTAATGACACTGATGCTTGAAAGTAGTTCAAGGTTTGTGCGCGGGAAGGATAGATCGTTACGCGCCAGGCTAGACCGTCCACGATGCTTCATTCAGTCCGTGTTAAGGGAGCTGTCATGTTTGAGGGTCGCAAGTTTCCTGGATGCGGAGCAGGTCATATGCAACTGATGACTGCAGATTGCCTGCTTGAAACACTCGCAGGTCAGCAAGTTCGACGTCGCTGGTTCGCTCGGTTCTCTCTCACAACTCGCTTCTGTAGGTTTAGCGACCAGGGCGGTTTGCTCCAGAACGCCGCCTAGCAGCAATGTTAGAGACACTGAATCTTGATATTTAGAAGTGATAAAACTCACAACACGCCGAAGGACGGTAAACGCGCCGAGGAGACAACAAACGTGCCGAGAGACGTTGAACTTTGCAGATGACCTAACAAGCTCAGCAAAACGCCTCCCTAATTTCTTGGTGCTTCCCTAAGAACGCCTGGATCCTTGCTAGAAGGACGCCCATCCCTGAGCTCCGCGTGCCTATCTAGCGAATGAATTGCTGCGAAATATGGGTTTTGGCGGTGCAGTCGGTTAGTGCTGACGACATCTTCAGCCACGTAGGAACTGGTAGCTGAGCGGCTGATATGCGCCTAATAACAAGCAGGCGGGGAATTCAGGTTGTTTGGTCTTCATAAGAGGAGCGACGACCTGATCAATGGCATCGTTATTCTTCTTCATCCACGGAGATGCGAGGCTGAACATTATTCCGCAGGTGTCTAGGAGCAACATGGCGAATCATGAGAGCCTCATTCATGATGCCGGCCAGAGTCGGTCGACCGTGCTTTTGGCTGCGGCCACTTTCTTAATGGTTCCTCTAGCAGTCATTCTCAAAAGACTTCTTTTTCCGACGTTTGACGCTCGAGAGCCACCGATCCTGCGGCCGAAAGTGCCTTTCTTTGGCCACGTTGTGTCGCTTGTAAGAGAGGCAGCGAATTTCAATAACCGTCTCTAGTAGGTCCCAACAGAGGCAGAAGACCGTGGCCGTTGTTGACTGTTCCTGCAGTAGAGAACACAAGATGCCGATCTGCACATTGCCCATGCTGCATGGCAAGATGTATCTCATAAACTCCCCGGCTTTAATCGCGGCAGCAATGCGTACCAGCGACATTTCGTTCTTCCCTATCGAGATGGAGGCTACGGCTTCGATTCTTGATATGCCGCCTCATCACCTCGAAAAGCTCGGCCCAGAGGTCATCCATCACTTCGGGAAGACGATGGCCACAGCCCTCATGAAACAGCCACTATATGCCATCAACAGTGCTTCGCTAGGATACTGCAGTGAGGTTATGAACGCCATTGGCGCAGATCCGAAGAAAATAGCTGCTTGGGATTGGATCCAAGAGGTCATGGCCATGGCTGCTAGCAGAGCGCTGTACGGAAGGCATAATATGTGGGACATGGAGAAGTTCGGGGACCTCTGGTAAGTCGGAACAAGTCCATGCATCCAAAGCTGAGTCTGACTTTGCTACAGGACGTTCGACGACAACTTGGCCATCTTGGGGGCCAACATAGCCCCGAAGCTGCTTGCTCCCAAAGCAGTAGCAGCTCGTCAACGGATGAATGCTCTGCTGCGGCCGTTCTACGTTGGTCATCTGGATGATAGCCCCGACGTTGCAAGCATTGTGAAGGAACGCGCAAGGTGCCTGCGGGACGTGGGAATACCATCCGAGGATCTTTCGAGTATGGAGTTCCTGCTTCCTTGGGCCGCCACAACGAATACTATACCAATGACGTTCTGGTTTTTGATGAATATCTTCGCCGAACCAGAATATGTCGATCAGGTCCGCCAGGAGATTCTAGAAATCACAGAGATTGTCAGACGGGAAGATGGACGACGCGATGCGACTGTCAACACTAGAGATCTCGAGTCGCGGTGTCCCTTCCTCATGGCCTGCTATCGTGAACTCCTCCGATTATATGTCGCCCAGGTCTTCAACCGAAGAGCCATGCAGGATGTTACTCTCGAGGATAGCGACGGTCGTCAATACTTGCTGAAAAAGGGCACCAATATGCAATGGGCTACTAGCGTTATCCATCTCATGCCGGATATCTGGGGCGACGATGTTACGTCGTTCAAACCTGAGCGCTTCCTCAACGTAACGCCGGAGGAGGAGAGACGGAGACGGGGGTTCATGCTGCCGTTTGGTGGAGGCAAGCACATGTGCCCCGGCCGGTTCTTTGCCCAGACCGAGATTGTAGGATTCGTCGGTGCTCTGGCACTCGGCTTCAATATCGAAGACGTCAAAGTTCCGCCGGCCGGTGCGCCGACGTTGGCAGGTGCGGCAAGACATCCAGAGCGGGGCCGCCGGAATGACGAGATTGTTATCTCAAGACGCATCGGATGGGAGGACGTCAACTGGAAGTTTGCATGTTGATTCGTTCAAGATGTAGCAGCCAGCAATTGGGATACCTGTCCGTCAACTGCCGTAGATATCGAAAGGCATCGTTGACAAAAGCCAGTGACGGGAGTAATACGCATGTCTCGGCTGACGAGCATCCATTCGAGACCCAGTGTGGCTCTCCAACGTTGACCATTGGGGGTCAAAGTGGTTGCAGCCACCAAGTGGCACCCGTGTCGACCCCCGGCGTCATGCGTCAAGCTGTCAGTCAATAAGCTGCAGTGTATCCGTAGGATAGCGATGTATGGCGATTAGTAGAGGGGCAGAGGCGATGGTGAGTGACGAGCCGGACGCAGTGCAACGACGCATATCAGACGTGATGCGCCAGCCAAACAACAGGCGGCTGGCAGTCCGGAATGGTCGATTCTGTCAGACGAGCCAGCCAACCAGGTCAGGTCAAGGTCACGTAGACGCGGTCCGTTGGTGATGCGACGCAAGGATGCGGAACGGGGGCCGGACAGTATTCGAAAACCTCATTGTCTGATTAGATTGATAGACGGGAACAGGCGGGCGGGCTGATCTCGAGCCGTCGGGGAGTCTCGAATCGACAGCTGGGCGGAACAGCGCAGCCGTGGGCCGGAGATGCAGGCGTCACGGTGCTCCTGCAGTTTGCTCAAAGTTTTTTTCAGGCAGGCATGGAGCAGAGTGGGCTCCAGACTCGGGGTTCTCTCAAGGATTATTGCGAGGAAGTGATATCGGTGAAGAAGATGGCGCAAATCCGCAACCTTTTGCGCAGCTCACCGCCCTGTGGTGCTGGGGTGGTGATGACGTCCCCTGCAATTTGTTGCAGATGGTACCCGAAACATGCCGGGCCTGGTGTTTGCGCTGGCAATGGGCTGCAGCATTGGGTACGAACTGAGGGGGCCGACTGAGGTGAAGTACGGGTTGCAACTTCACAGTGTTGGTGACTGTCACTTTGTTGGTGGGTTGGTACGTTGGCTGTAATCATGTTGTTGGCTGTTTTGTTTGTCCGTTCGGTGGTTCCCGGACGACGATGCACCGAGAGCAGCGTCCGTTTGTTTGCCCATTCGTACCCAGGTAGAGCCGGTAGTATTCAGTGACAATGATAGTGGAAACGATGAGACGATAATTTTTCGAGAAGAGTTCATCGCCCGGGTCAGTGGAATCAAGGCCGATTGTCGGCAGGAGCCCAAGTGGAGTGGGGTTTGCCGAGGAGCTTCTCAGCTACAGATACTTCCTTGGAATAGTTGTGAGGTAAGAATTGGCTGGCAGGCGTGGCCAGTGACACCTGCTGATGAAGAGCTTTTTTCCCTCCCTCCAAGCTGCGGCAGGTATCCGTAGAGCAGCTGCCTGTCGCGGAACCTCCTGCGGGTCACAGGTACAGACAGATTGAAGGTGCGCCATCTGGGGTGGGAAGGAACCAACCCAGGGGAGGGGGGGTCTGTGTGGGGACCTTCCCAATGAGAACCGACATGGACCGCAGACAGACGGGAGGAAGCAGCAGGGCAGGGCAGGGTCACCGCGAACTTTTTTTTTCTTCCTTTTGGCTGTGACGGAAGCTCCAGGCCTCTGCGCCTGCCGTCGCGTCCACGTTGTGTTGTGTGTTCACTGCTGCCCGCCCACCTCACCTCGTCAGGCCCAGGCCCAGGCCCCGCAGCAGCCAGCAACCACGACCAAGATCAGCCAGTGGGAGATACGACGTGAAATTGTACTGAAGTCACGAGTGAGGTGGTCTTGGGGAAAGCAAGCACGCACGGGTGGCCCCGAGTTGGCGGCGGCGGCTACCTTTCCAAGCTTCCCTCGGGCTTCTTCCCGGCCCACGATCGCGCACCGGGCCACTCTGAGTGCTTCTTTCCCATCTGCACCGCAACGGAAATGTCAGTCAACCTCCTCGAGGAGAACAGAATGCGATACGCTTACACACTGGATGACATGTCCTGCCCGCCAGCCTTCGTCACAAATCACGAGAAAGCAAAGCACAACAAGAGAACACCCCAAAGTCTGCGCGCTTGTGTTACGACCCCCGCTTCCTCAGCCCAGGGCCCAGCGGTAACCCATGGACGGGGAAGCAACAGGTCGGGTGGTTGGGGCCCTAAACCCTGCTGCGAGGAGGGTGCCCCTGACACTCTGACGCAGACCCGAATGGAACGGACGCCCAACATCTCTCTTCTCACTCCAGTCTCTGATTCCCGAGGGTCCAGAAGGGGACCAGAGAAGCGTGAGCGTCCAGGGACCTGCCGCACGGGAGCCCTCTTCTTCTTCTGATCTGGCGGCAATGGATGTCGAAGCACCAAGGGTGCAGGTCAATTCTCACTCTCTGCGACGCCGCCTTCTGCACCCTGCCATGGCCATGACCGCACGCTTCTCTTCGCGGCCCAGCTGGGTGCACAGCTGCTGCAAAGGGCGAGTCTCCCAGGCACAAAAATACAAAATTGGCGATCCGGTCATTTGATGCGTCATCATTGGCTGCGAAAGGCCTGGGGCAGACCAGGGTAGCAGTCTGAAGGGGGGAAAGCTAACTGCTACCTCACGAGTCGGATACGTACCGCCACCGTCCTCGGCCTTGCAAGAGCGTCCTCCAGACCAGGATCATCTCGTCAGGCTGGCTGCCACTGTTGTTTGCTATTGGTGATGGCCGAAGATCATTCAGCACCCCAAGGAAGCTGCCAGGTGAGCTGAACTCTGCCTCTCGTGTCAGAAAAGTTGTTGATGCTGTCAACAGATAAATAACTTTTATGATGCACAACCTGTCTTGTGCTGTACAATGCTATGCTGTTGGTACTCGACACAAACCCGTGCCTCTTCAAGCAAAGTGACACGAAACATCCTCGTGCAGCTGCGCGTCCGCCACGAGGAATCCCAAGCCCGGCGGCCGCCAAAACCTTCAACTCTTCAAGCACGCCCTGGAAATGAGGCAGGCGCCAGCAAACATTGGCACTCATCCCGCAGACGGAACACCACAGAAGCCTCTGTCTGCAATTTAGTCTTTTTCGATGCACATATCTTGCATCGGCACTGCCGCCGGCAAAAGTAGACGTTGTCCACAAACGTGAACTGCACCAACAGATATTGATAGAGGAAGATGACCAACCAACAGTTTTAGCTTCACCCACTTAGTTGAAATGCGTCTTCGCCTGTTACGATTCAATATCGCCAACACCGGTAGCCATCACTAATGTCGCCATGGCTATAAACTGGAACTTCGCATCCTGTCCACCGCATCATGCTTGTGTTTACCGGCAACACATACCTTTCCGTTGGCGACCAACATACACGAGGGATTGTCCTAACCAGATTCTACTTGCTTCTGAGTAGCCGAATGATTAATCACTGTTTGGACAGAGATGCGGACTCGTGCTCCGGCAGAAACAGAAACACTGGCAGAGGCACAGACACTCGTCAAGACACGCCACCTTATTACCCCAACTCGTGCCTCCATTCCCCTTCCCTGTCAGGGAAAAGCAGATGCTCCGCACGAGCACATGAACCTTGGCTACCGAATGCCACACCAGAGGAGTCGCACACCACCTTCACAGCTCTTCTCGGCCCTCCACGCCATCAATACAAGAGACGAAGGGACTGGAAAGCTGCGCGAATCAACAATCAGCCAGCCAGAGACCAGCAGCGACGGGCCACAGCCCTTCCCGCGCCGCGCGACTCGCCCGCGCCCCTCGCCCTGGAACCGGGATCATCTTTCTTCACTGGATCAACAGCATCAGCAGCAGCCGGGCTGCTTCACGTCAGGTCGCGCCCGCCATCCACCCATCCACATCTCCATCTCTGTCATCCCGCCGTCGCTCTTGCCGTCGCCCATCACCGCTAGTTTCCTGCTTCCACTCTACGTACCTTACACCACCTTTCCTCATCCTACAGCTGCAGCTCCCGCATTCCCCATCCAACATTCTGCATCTGTTTGTGCCCCTCCTTCTTGTGACGCCCGTCGAGTCGTGCGTCTTGCAGCAGCTATGCCACTACCTCGCCGTCACCGCAACACCACCACACTCACTTTCGACTAACACCCATATTACTCACAGACAACTTACAAGACTTGTCTTGCAGAAAAGCGCAGCGACAGCTGGCCCGGCTAATACAACTCTAGAACTGCTGCTGTTTCCCCACCCGCATGAGGTACCTTGGACCTCAGATGCTTGATGCCAGCACTATTGCCCAACGGACAGGCACTAACAGCCTGCGGTCCGCCTCTTCCTGCATAAGCTTAGGGTCCTAGATCGTCTCGCACACGTCTTTGTCCCTTGCGCAAGACGCCTGACGCTTGTTCTCCCCTCATCTGCTCCCTGCTGCTCCCCACGCCGTCTCGTTCCCTCTCGTCGTTGTGCCTCCTGTCAGTGATCACCACAAGCTCTGCATTCGTCGCGAGACGCGCCACCTTTGCAGCTTCACCCACCCTACAGAAGCAATTATCATCACGACTCAATAAGCAAACGGAAGTTCAGCCACACCGTATTACCCTTGTGGGAACCCAGACAGTTGGGTTTCGTTATGCTTTTTGTTTATTTTGCTTTCGTAAGCTCTATGCTACGAGATAATTCTCAATCGGCGCAAACCGCATGGCCACAGACCTCGCGGCGAACCGGCTGGACATGTTGAAGGTGGAAATCCGACTTCAGCAGAAAACAACGCCGATTCCCTGACCGACACACCACACACGACAGGGGCCCAGGGCAAGAAAAACAACCCACCCCGGGCGCGGCGCATCGACATCATCGTTTCCCATCAACGGGGGCCACCTGTCGCACTAGCGCGAACGAACCTCCCCCGGTATCCCTGTCGCGTTCCGGCTGATTTGCGCCCATTTGCCAGCAGCGGCCCCATGGTCACGCAGCCACCAAGTCACCAAGACACACACCACAGACAGGGTCCCTGTCCATCCCCGGCCGAGCGACCAGCAAGACAAGAGGGCCAAGAAGAAAAAAACGAAAAGTGAGGTGTGAGCACAAGCACAAGCTGCTCAATGCCAGTAGCCGGCCAGCCCAGCTCCACCGAAACAGGATCCGACCAGGGGAATCCAAAATAATTCTGCCGTCCGTGTAACAACAGTGTGTCGCGATCCTCTCGACCTTCTCGACCCTTTCTCCTCTTCCACCTTTCTCGCTACTCGCCAAGCCGTCCAGAGAGAGAGCCTCATCCCAGCTCCCCCATCCTCTCAAACCGACCATCGACGACTCCATCGCCGTCTTCTCCAAAGGTCGACTTTCACGATACTTGCGATCGCCTACACTGAGTGCCTCGTCGCCGTCACTCAGACGCACGTTTGCCTATGCAATCCACCTTGTGGGCTTTGAGCTAAAAACTTCGGCGCGATGGATCCAAGACAACCGCCACAACACCCCTTCTCGCGCAATGCTGCATCGCAATACAGTCGCTCTCCTTTCCCTCCGAACCAAAATCAACCAGCAACTTCAACACCAAATCAGGCTCCTTTCCCGACCGCATCGTCACATCCGCCGCCTACTTCGAACCCTCCCTATGCCGAGCACCAGAGAAGAACATCCGAAAACCCCTACTACGGTCAGGGCCCGAGGTCATATCCTCAAGAACAGGGCTCTGGTCCTCCTCAGCCAGGCCACTCTCGACATGCGAGTGCATCCTCGTTACCTCCCGGCCCACCGATGAACAGAAACATGCCGCCGCCAGGTTCTCCTCCCCAGCCGGGGAACCCACAGCCGCCGTCGCATCAAATGGGTCATTATGGGCTACCAACGCCGCGAGGTCCGCCTCTCAATGTTGGTCCGCCGACTTCGTTTCCCGGTGGTCGCGAGCTGCCGTCGTTGGCATCAATACCGAGGACGGGAAGCACCGGCAGCTCCATGTCAATATCTTCAATGCTTGGAGGGCCACCCCCGGTGCCCAGGGACTCTCAGCCTACCCCTTCGCACTACCCTCCTCCGGCGACCTCTGCTAGCTCTGGGCCGACGTTTGCACCGTCGATCCAGGCGTCACCTAGAATGCACTCTGCGTCCTCCGAGTACCAGCCCTTCAGGAGACCTCAAACACCTGAGCATGCTCGTCCTTACGATCCGAGAGGTAGTGCCGCAGCATCGCCGCAGGGTGCGTACTCTACAACACCGGAGATGCAGCGATACGGCACACCACAGGCGTACCATCAGCGGGGACCATCCGCACAAGATGGCAGAGACCCGAGCCGAATGCCCCCGGGCCCTCCCCCGAGACCTACGAGTCAGCCCAAGTCTTTCGCGAGCATGCCTCCGAGGCCTGTTGACATGGGGCGTAACAACGGACCGGAAGAGATGTACGCTCGTCGCGAAGAAATGCCTCGAGGTGCAATGGAATACAACCCTGAGAGGCCCGGTCTGAAGCAAATGAATTTTGACGAACGCTACCGCGCCGAGCGCGAGCGCCGAGAGGAGTTTGAGTTTAGGGAAAGAGAAAGCAGACAACGCGCATACTCGGGGGGTGAGGGAGGACGGGGACCTCCACCGCCACAGGGCGAGTACCGTCCTCAGGAAGTTCCGCGTGGGCAGCCTCCGCCGTTCAGTCGACCTCCTGAGCACCGAGAGCAAGGGCCGTGGCCACCGCGGCAACCCCAGCCATTTGAGCAGCAATCCCGAGTTCCGTACGACCCTGCTGGCCTTCATCCGCGACACCACGAATATCCTCCTACCTCAGCGCCAGGCTACCCGAATCAAGGCCATCCTGCGCCGGCTCCTCAGTACCCGCAGCCGCCTCCAGGAGATCGCTATCCCCCACAGGGTCATCCCCAACAGCCTCCTCCCGGTCAACAACAGGCGCCTCCGCAGCAACCCTTCGATTCTCCTGAGCGACAGCGAATAAGTCACCTCCCTCCCCAGGCGCAGCCGCCTCCGGCGCATCGTCGCCCCGTGGAGGAAGGCCCACCTCCTCCGTCGGTTGCATACAATGCTCCACACGGCACTCCAGCGTTCGTTGACTCGCCCCGTAATCGCCCGATGGAGGAACATCCGAACAATGGACAGAGGCACTTGCTGGCGGTTCAGGAGATCAACCGCAAGGGCCGAGTATCCCCTCTGCCGCAGGCAGTGCAGGGGGCACAACCACAGCTGCCTGGCCCTGCAGGAGAGCCTGGCATCAAGAGCGAATTTGGACGCATGTTTTCTGGTATTGGCAGTGGTGTCACCGGGATTGGTGTGTCTAGTCCAGTCACCGCTGGAGCGCAGCTGCCATATACCAATGCAAGCCTTGCCCGTCGAGACGAGACGGACGGTCCGGCGCAGGACTCTGGGCCTGACGCTGCGCCCAAACCACCAGCCAAGGGCAGGAGGAGGAAGCTCAAGGAGGAAGATGTCAAAGGTGATGAGGAGAGCACAGGGCGCCTCACACCAGTGGGTCGGGCTAAGCGCCCCAAGACTCACCAACACCACCATCACCAGTACGAAGTATCATTATCCCAAGTAGACGAGATCCGGTGTACTGACCATACTTGCCCTACTAGCCATCATCATCACCATCACACCCATAACCATGGCACTGACCATGCCAACGTTCCTGCGCCCATTGGTGTCACCCCTTTCAAGAACGTCAAGGGAACCACGCCGGTTCCATCGCCTACAGGGCTTGCCAAGGACTTGCCGACCGCGCATCACCACCACGTCCCTCGGCCAACAAACCAGCATACTCACCAGGTGAAGGAGGCGCCAGCCAAGCAGGCTGTGCAGAGTCCGACTGCAGTGATCCCTCCCAAACCGAAAACAGTCGTCAGTTCGAAGGCTGTATTAGAATCGGTCGCGCATCTCCCGCGGACTCACCTTGGCGATGTGCTCTACGAACCCAAACTGAAGCCGGCGAGACAAGTGCCAAACGTCCCCTCTTCTCGTGGCTTTTCGACGACGCCCACGCCTCTGCCGTGGGATATGATCAAGAACAGGGAGAACTGCACCCTGACGGTCAAGGTCCCTAAGGTACACCTGACTCCCTCCGCACGAGAGGAGATTACTGCGCGGAGAGCAGTATGGGGAACAGAAGTGTATACCGACGACTCGGACATTATTGCTGCCTGCATTCACGGCGGTTGGATTCGGGGAGAATGGGCCGACGACATCGATGCGGACATGCTGGATCTGGATCGTGGCCTAGCTGCCCCCGAGAAGGAGGTTCCGGCGAACAAGAGACGCAAGGAGAAAGAGAAGGAAGAAAAGGCCAGACAAGAAGCAAATGCGGCCACGTTCCTGGACAAGCCACCCAAGACTGGGCCCGTCACAGTCCCTGTCGAACGTGACATGCACGTCACTCTCTTGATTCTTCCACGGCTAGAGAAGTACAGTAGCACCACTCGGTTCGGCATTCAGTCACGCGAGTTTGGTGGCCGCTACAATGGACGGAAGTCGATTCACGACGGCATCAGTTTCCAGATCTTGGGGATCCGCTGGGTGACCAACGGCGCCGGGACACAGAGCCGACTCCGTGGCAAAGGCCGTCGGGAACGCATGCGCAAGGCCATGGGTGAGATGAACGCCGCCAGCCGTGGTCTCAACGGTGCCGAGTTGGAAAAAGAGAAACAGCGCCTTGATAGGATTCGAGACGAGATCGTTTCTGGCCACTGGTGGAAGCGAGATGAAGCACGCGAGAACGGTACGGGCAAGCATGAAAGGACCCCTAGCGAGGGCGACAAGGAGAACAGGCCTGCCAAAGAGCAGCAAGGTGCTCGCGCAACCAACGGGGCGACTACCAACGGCGTGGCGTCGAACAAGACCGACAAAATGGATTTGGATGAGAGCACGAAGGAGGCGAAGGCGTCGGCGCCATAAAAGTCGGAAACCAATCTTGGATAACAGCATACTCTTGAAAAGCAGGCGAAGCAGCGGATGATTAAAGCCACAGGCATTGTAGGAGTAGTGATGATTATAATACCCAATTCCTTCGAGTACACGATTGGGCTTTTTCTCTACGCTATTGGTATCTCTTTATGACTCTCGTCTTTGCATTGTTGTACAACCGCTATTCTTACAAGGTCGTCTCGGTGTCGCCCCTACACTATTCCGGCACCATTCATCGTTTCACCCTGCTCAGAAGTCCGTCACGCGGCCGTTGTAGCTCCAATCGCCCCCGGACCCCCAGCGCAGCGGCTCCCTCTTGGGCCCGCCGACCTCGCCGGTGCGCGGGTTGACGTCGCCCTCGAACTCGGGCGGCGCGCCGCGGACGTAGGCGGGGTGCATGGTGTCCTCCTCCGAGGCGGAGATGGTCGGGTTGACGGGCTTTTCTTGGGGCTGCGCCTCTGCTGTTGCTGGTGTTGCGGCGGCCTCGGAGGATGTGGACGTTGCTGCCGGTTCGGAGGTAGAGGAGGGGGGATTGGCGTACTCTTGGAAGGCGGAGGATACGGAGGCGGCGCGCTGGAGGCGCTCGAATTCGGCTTGTTGGTCGGCGGGCAGGCGGGGCGGGGCAGGCCCGCGGGAGAAGGTTGAGGATGCGCGGGAGGGGAGGCGGAGGATTGGGGTGCGGAGGCGGAGGAGGCGGGACATTGTGTTTGGTTGTGGTGCTTTGATGGGTTTTTTGTGTGTTGGGTGAGTGGTTGCTGAGGTTGTAGGTTGGTGGTTGCGGTTGGAGGGTTGGTCTAGTTGTTGTGAGGGTGGAAGTTAAGGTGGGTGGCGAAAGTCGGGAAGATTTGGAGAGGCATCGACCCGCGACTATCCGCACCTTACACCGAGGTGTGTTTCAAAATTTAGAGTGGGACGCTCTTGAGGGCTCCATGGCACCGTGTGGCGGTAGGCTTGTGGCTAAGTTACTAAGCATGTAATTAGCCTGGGCTTATCTTATTCGCAAATATCGTTGAGCTTGTTTTATCATGATCAGCACCCGCCGACATCTTGAAACCCCCGGGAATTTCCATCTCTGTCATTTACAAAGGATCCCCCATGGTGGCTCGAAGGACGCTATTCGCGATAACTTGGGTCGCTAGCCGGGCATGGTGGCGGGGATCGGGACGCAATGGTAAGGGTTCAATTTGGTCTATAAGCGCAACTGCTCAACCACATCGACAGGCTAATTGAGACGTGGAATATAATAGTATGTCAGCAAAGCCGTTCTACCATCCGTTGACCTGATTTGGTACTCCTTCCCGCAGCCCGCGCATCATTGACAGTCCATTGAGCATGCCCAGGCATACTCGACGTCTATATTCCACGAGACACAAGTGACCTAATCTGACAGTCGCTTGACTCTTGAGACCAATTCGGCCGAGAACATGTGTGTCGAGTCGTACCAAAGAGCCCGACCATATGGATAGAGCTGCTGATAGACTCACATACTCAAGAATGACTGCTGCTGATGCGCAATCATAGCTCTCACAACCCCTCCCGCAAAGCTCGAGCACCAATTGACGCCCAGTCCTCTTCGTCCGTCTGCTCGTCGTCTGTATCCAAAGATCTGGAGGAATTCTCAGTTTCGGGGTCTTTTAAGCCAGTTTCGTTCCGAGAATCATTCCGACAAGCTATTTTGGGTGTCTTTTGGCGTCGTTGGCCGCCATCCATCTCAATTGCATTTTCTCCAGTCCGTTCGAAAGACAATGATTTCGTTTGTGCCGGAAGAAGGGAGTTCTCAAGTTTTTGAAAGTATTGGAGGATCGGTGAATGAAAGCGAGCCATTTCCGCTGGTAGCGCCCATCTCTCTTGTCTTGCGCCGGGGCATCTCAAGAGCTCCATGAAGGTGAGAATCATAAGTCGAAGCTGTAAAGTATCCACAATAGCAATATGATTGTTGCCGGTCAATTTGTGATTGGGAAAGAACAGAGGGAAAAGAACCTCCAGTCTGCAACAGAAAAATTGACCAGAAGGCAATTTTCCAAGGTTTGTCGAAAAATGAGGCACAATCGGGACACAAAGAGAATTAGGAGGTAGACTCGATGCAACGCAATGGCCGTTGGATTTCATAAAGTTTCTCAACACGTTGAGGTCCGCAGGGCTTGTGTGCCACGTAACAATCACCGTATCTGGCCGCATAATAGCTCGAAGCTTGACAGCCAGACTTTGAACCCCGTCATAGCACTTGCCTGGGGATGGGCGGTTGGATCTCAGCTTGAAAGCGTGTCGTTCGAAGTAGTTGTAGTACAAATCTGTGTTCGGAGGTCTCGACCCTCGCTTCATTGGCTCCCCGTGCGCGGTGTTTCGATCGAGAACGGCATCCAGGAGAACTTCTCCGCTTACAAGTGTAACTATCGCAACCTCATAAACGTCTGTCACTGCAGGCTTGTCGTTGAACTCTAAATCCAAGCAGACCAGGCTCTCAGGGGGCATCTTGCCTTTCTGAATCTGTTCGATACGCTCCTGCACTAATCGAAAGTTGCTCTTAGGTGCGGGCGAGATTTTCCACTTTTTTGTCATTCTTGCTGCCAGTTCTTTGCGAAGAGCCATCACTTGAGGCTCTTCACGACTCCTGTTTTCGGCTGTGCATCTCAAATGCTTTTTGCAAAACTTTGACTGTCCCCACCTTCGGTCGAAGCAGTTGCGTTGCTGACACCAAAAGATACCTGATTCCTCCATGAACCCATGCATTTTGAGGTTCCAAAGCCATTGCTTTTTCCCATAACACGAGCCGCAAAGGCCGTCGAGGCTCAACAGACCATCTTTCACCCTGAAAAAAGCAGTGTCTGGTGTTATACGGGCTTGAAACGGGCAGTCTTTATCTTGAGTTATCTCCTCGCTTTGCCGATCGAAGTAGGATCGGTGAACATTGAGGCGAGGGCCAGCGCAAAGGTTGCCGACGGCGAAGAGAAACGTTTTTTCACTTAGACGAAGAGAGGTTCCTCCAGCTTCTTCATGTGAGAATGTGTAAGCACACACAACATACCAGTCATTGAACACTTACCTCGCAATCGTATCGTTTCCAGATTCCAATTGCGAATGAAATGGGTGTCCAGACGGTCAAAAGTGGCTGCGCCAGCCTCCATATGCTCCCATATACTGGTGTTTGCGGTACCCAAAGCTAGACAACAGATAATATCAACGCTCTGCGCTACATCAAGAGCATCAGTCATCTTGTCGAGTGGTGAGTTCCCAGTTCGACGGTTGTTGACCGTTACGACTCGATCTGATTCGCAAAAGGTTCTGTCTGCTGCTTCAGTTGGCGAAACTTGTTGGTCGACCAACAAACCAGCAGGCTTCGCCGGGAAACCTGCTATGATGTCGTCATCTTTAGGATTGACAAGGTTTCCAAGCTTGTGTCTGTCTGTACTGGTACTGTAGAGTAAGCTGCTGCTGGGAGGGATTTCTTGGGGCTGGCAGCTGTTGAGCATTTGTTCGAAGACGCCAAACCAAAACGCTCCGAGTGCGTTATCGACGGAATATGGCGAAACCTTGCGATAGCAGTCGACAGCTTTGCCGTCTCCATGTTCTTCATGCCTCTTAGCGTGGGTGAGAATATACGTTTTGTTGAAGACATGCTGAGTGATTGCATTGATGCACCAAGGCACGGAACAGACCCATTCGCGTACCGCAGCCGCTCGACCTCCAGCTACCGGATGCGCAATTACACAGAAACGAAGATGATGAAGGGCGTCAGTAACAATTGGAGAAGATTGACCGCAATGCGGACAACAGTAACCCCCTTCTGAATCCTGCTTAAACATGAGCTGAAGATCACGTTTGCCACGCTGCGGGTGTTTGAGACGAATATGTTTCTGAAGGTTCGTACCCATCGTGGATGTAATAGAGCAATGAGGACAACAAAGTCTTCCGACGTCATTCTTTCTGAAGAGGTTTCTACGCTGGGCCCTCGCAGAAGTTTTGCCCTCGTGCGCTTTCTTCACATGAGTGTTGACACCTTCTGACGAGAAAAAGGTCCATTCGCAGTCGACGTATGGGCACATAACTCTACCCAAAGAATTCAAGTTGTACTTGCGTCTTTGCACAACGACAACCCGTCCAGCCGACCCGCCGACCAGCCCATCGTCGACCACCGATCACCTACAACTGTCAAGATGGCTCGCACTAAGAACAAGGCCAGCGATACGCTTGCCCAGCGCTTGGCTCTCGTGGTGAAGTCCGGTCGCATCAGCATGGGATACAAGAGCACTCTCAAGGCTCTGCGTACCGGAAAGGCCAAGCTTGTTCTCATCGCCGGCAACACCCCTCCGCTGCGCAAGTCAGAGCTGGAATGTATGTGAATCGCAAACTGCCTTGGAACAGCGCATGCGGATTTCGCTGTAGCTTGGGACGTCATTCGCTAACGACATGCACCCACAGATTACGCGATGTTGAGCAAGGTTCCTGTCCATCACTTTGCGGGTACCAACGTACGTCGACCGCCCTGAGGTTTTCTGTTCCGAGACTAACTACTGTCATAAGATCGAGCTTGGCACTGCGTGTGGCCGTCTTTTCCGTTGCGGTACGATGGTCATCCTCGACGCTGGTGATTCCGATATCTTGACCGACCAAGCGATTGTTTGATTCGTTCATCTCCACATCATCCTACAGTAAGTTCACCTGAACCACCCGAAAACATTCTGCGAAGCATGGTTTCCATTTCAAATCATGCGGAGAATGTAGACTAACTATCGACAACAGACTGGGCAGGTGGTTAGATGCGGCATGTAGGCGTCCGGAGATGGATGAAGAGGTCTGGGAAAGATTCTCCACCATGAAGGGCCCTCCCATACTCATACAACGGACTGCTTCTATACAGGTTAGCTAGGACCCTAGATATAATCAACAATGCCGAAGTTCCTCAACAACACAATTGCACGTTCGCTGTGTAAAGGCCTACAGCTTCTAGAGTTTCTGGACTAGACACATGGGTGCTTCGTGCTAGTCAAGAAAGTTGGTAGGCGACGCCGGTTTTTGTGCAAGGTATGCGTATTTGTCACGTATGTACGTTGGAAGTCGTGATTTCGAAAGTTAGTGAGCGCAAATGTTCCTATGGGAAAAACCAAGGGCATCAAGGGAGCCGCCGTCGGGTCTCAAAGAAAGCATACACAAAAATTCCCTTCCAATCTCTTTACTTACTCGGCTCCCCGTACACATAACTAAATGCCACAGGCGTCCCAAAGTTCGGACTGCCATTACTATGCGTCCCCAGCATCTGCACCATCGTATACCGACTGTCATCACACGCACCCGCACTGTTCGCCGTCGCATGGTACGCGATCCACGTCTGGTCGCCCTTCGGGCTCTGGAAGAAGCTGTTGTGTCCGGTGCCATAGTGCCCATTGCCACTACTCAGCACACACCCGTTGCCCTTGCTCCACGCGCTCGCGCTCAGCGGGCTCGTCTTGCCGTCCCAGGTCAGCAGGCCCAGGCAGTAGCTCGCGCTCCAGCAGTACGACGCCGAGTACGCGATGTACGTTTTCCCGCCAAAGTAGAGCGCCGCGGGCCCTTCGTTGACAGGGTGCGAGACCTTCTCCCAGGACTGCGTCGGCTGCGAGATCAAAGACACAGAGCCCGAGGTGGAGACGTTGTCGTCGTTGAGCTTCTGGATGCAGATGGACTGGTACGCGGCGCCATGGAAGCACGAGTACATGAGGAAGTTGCCGAATGAGGCGGTGCGGAGCACGGAGGCGTCGATGGACCACTCGTCGGCGCCGATGCGACCGACGTAGGTGTAGTCGTCCCAAGGGGTCGTGCCGCCTGTGCCCACGTTAGTCTACTTCATGTCTCCATCGCCACGGATGGCGTGACTGCTGCAACTCACCTCTGAGGACATGCATCCGCTGATTATCCAGATTCGCACTCCCCCCCGCCGTGAAGTAAATGTACCACCGGTTGCCGAGCCAGTGCACCTCGGGTGCCCATACGTTGCAGCAGCGCGAGGAGTCCCCCGACGAGTAGACGACCTTCTTGGCGGCCGTCTTGAGCCCGTCGATGGTTGTTGACCGCGCGATCTCGACCGTCGACCATGTCGTCGACAGGAGGTAGTAGTAGCCGTCGCCCGAGTACGTCAGGAACGGGTCGGAGCCGCCGGGGCGGCGGATCGGGTTGGTGAAGGCCGTGGCCGTGAAGGGCAGCAGGCCCAGGAGGGCGGTTAGGAGGGGGAGGAGTCTCATTTTGGGAGAGACGGGGGCTGTTTCGGCGAAGGTGGGAGAAATGGAGGATGGCGGAGGAAGGAAGGGACGGGGAGGGGGTTATATGGGCGCGAGGTCGTGGTCTGGGAGGTCCAGTCCATTATGTTGAAGGAGGCGTCTGGCGGCTGGCCACTCTCAGCAGGCAACTTCACCTTTCCGGTCCGAAGACTTCGCACATGCAAGGAGGCAGGACCTCACATCAAGGGCTTCAACACCGCGGCCGGAGTACAGGTCCAGAAAAGACCATGGTCCAGGTCCGCAATATCGGAGAGGGCAGGGGATTGGTGGGATTTCGCGACGGAGACTGGGCCCGGAGCGGGGTGTGGTGGTTGCGGATGCCGGTTGCTGCGACTAACACCAAAGGCACACGCGCGCGCGCAAGATACCGCGTCTGCATAAGCAGCTTACACCACATCATGGCAGTCGATGAGCGGTCTCCAAAGACAGGGGCGTCCCGCAGGTGCCGGCGTAGGCCGCCAGGCACAACACCCCTTCCCCGGACGGACATCCAAAGCCTAAATTCTCCGGGGCGAGCGAGCAAATAAGCTTACACTGACTAGGTGGGTGGCTCGGTGTTTCTTGGGATGCCCGGGAATTTGGTCGCGGTTGGTATGAGATGATTGGAGCGCTTCGGATCCCTACGTCCATCGAAGAAAGTAGCGTGGCGACAGGGTTGGATCGGGAACGGGCCAGAGGCCATGTGAGAGTCAGTGTAATGCGTCTGGGAGGCTTGGCTCAAGGGAGAGATGGAGAAATTCCCATCAATTGATTGATGCCGAACAAGAAAGACGCCCTGTGATACGGCCGCTACTAAGAGGCATCGTGTTGTTGGGTTGGGTGTGTTCTTACATCGGATGAACTCGACATGGTCGATGTTTCTGTGAGACGCGGTTTATCCTGTCATCCCCGCTCAATCAGAAGCATCCTCCAAAAGACGCGCAATACCATGAAATTAGTAACTTGGGGTCAGTGATCTTTCCATCAAATTGCACACAGAGACTGCACACAGAGACTCGTGCTTGGATGGTAGATATGCTTCAATTATCCTATTGCAGGCTCATTGCTCGTGTCAATGCTGCCCTCCCCTTATCATTACATCGCATTATGATGCATAGCCGGGGCTCTGTTCTCTATATATGTACCATGATTAACTCCTGTTGGTCCTTTGTAGCCAAAGGTATCCTGTTTCCAAAACAATTACGCCATCGCTGGTGTTTGGTATCATTCGTTCCTTCGTTGGCGTTTCTGTTGAACGCCGGATTCCTCGTCTGGCTGCAGGGTATCGAAATAAAGCAGCGAGGGTTCCTCCTAGATGTGGCCTTTGCCAACAACCTCTCGCTGGACTTCGACCTCTCCGCTATCGGCGGTGAAGCGTCGCTCCAACACCCATCTTGTTTCGCCTTCATCCTCCTCTTTTATGTAAGAAATGCTATCAGCGGATCCCTTGTGCTTGTGACCCATGCCGGGCCTGCGCTGGGGCGTGGGATCGGTTCGCGGCACCAGGTTGGGATGCATCGCGGTGTCGGGGCTCTTCATCCACAGCCCTGAATGAGAGATGGAGTTTGAGATTGACAGCTCATCCACCTCTTCCGACTCCATCACCGGCTCGAACGAGGAGCTGTGAGTGAAATGGGGCGAGTTCACCGCGACGGCCGGGCTAGCGGGGTTGAGGGAAGGCATGGGAGGAGTCGGAGAGCTGAGGGTGGGCATGGACATGGTGAGTGTGGGAGAGCCAGCACCGCTGCCCGCGTCCGAGTCCATGTCACGGCTTCTGATTGAAAAGGCCGAGTTTTTGCGGACGTGACCATTGTGGATGCCCAAGATATCGCGGCTTGGAGCCGGACCCCACGGTGAGCTCGCGCCGTCACCTCTCTCAGACCTAGGAGAGCCCTCGCGACTTGAGACCAAGCTGGCCTGTGATCCACCCCAAGCCCTGGAACGCAACTTCATCAGGGCCGTTAGGCTCATATTATCCTCGCCATCGGCCATCATCACGAGCTGCGCCAGTCCCGGACTTTGCAGGCTGGAAGGTCCAGAGCCGATGCCTGGCGGGATGCCGAGACTCATAATCGAGTTGCGGTTGGAGTATTCGGATCTTTCAGTGATGGGCGTCAAGTTCGGCTCCCGCGAGATCATGCGGCCAGACTTGCTCCGACCAACACCCGAGGGCCCAAAGAAGCCACCGTTCGCGTACTCAAACGGCTTCTCGTCCGACCCGGTCGAGTTGTCTCTGCTGTGACGCCCCTCGATCGGCGCCGAGTAAAACCCGAATTCTTGACCGTACCAGCCGTCCTGATCGTTGGCAAGGGCACTAGCGTTTGCCTCTGCGATAAAGTCGTCGTAGTCAACATCGTAGTCATCGAGGTCTTCACGGAAGCCGTTGTCATCGTCATCAAAAGGGTAGTCATCTTGGGGAGGCAAGCTAGACGACTCTGCCCCAGGCGACATGATCTCGCTAGGAGGCGGCGAAGAGTCTCGTCGGAACTTGCCATTGGCGGCAGCTTCGCATGCAGCTGCAGCAAGGGCGGCCTGATAAGCCTCCATCTTGCCCTGCTCCACGTTCGAAAAGCTTGACGTCATAGCGGAAGACGATTCTTCTTGACCCAAGTTCTCGCTTTGTCTCTTCGATTCCTCATTGGACGGGGCTGGCATGCCCACACTCAGAGACGTGTGGGCAGTCGAGGCTGATGCGTTGGATTGAGCGGAAAGCCTGGAGGTGCTGTCCGACACCCTCTTGCTGCTTTGAGGGGCAGCACCTTCTTGGCCGTTGGTGTCCTGGACTGCATCTTCTTGGGCGGCATCGGCTTGCGCGGCGGGATCCAGGACCACGCTTTCTTCAGCAGCAGTGGCGTTGGACGCAGCTCGAGCTGCCTGGAACTTTGCGAACACGCCGGGGAGAGGCCGGCCGTACTGATCTGTGTCGTCCAAGTCAAAAATCGACTCGTCGAATGTGGAGCCGTCGCCCTCGCCAGCAAAGTCAAGCTCGTCCAAGAGACCATTATCGAAGTAAAGGTCATCCTTCTTGGGCAGCGGTGGCGGCGGTGGTGGGGGCATCGCAGGTGCTAACCATTGATTGTTCTGTGGCGCTTCCTGTGGCTTCTGATCCATCTGAGCACCCTGCTGTTCTTCATCACTTGGCTGCTCTTCTTGAGGCTGCTTATTGACAATGTTCAGTCCCTGGATAGCAAGCCCCTCTGCCGGTTCCAACATTTGCGAGTCCATGCTTTGGCCAGGATAGTAGCCGGGAGATAGCGAAGGATTCAGGTCCGGCGTATCCTTTGAAAGCGCGAAGCCGATGACCCTTCCATCAGCGTCTCTTGGTGTCAAGGCCAAACCAGCACTGTGTGGGCTGGTCAGCGCAGATGCAGGGTTTGAACGCTGGAAGACGAA